TGTGTGCCACTGCCGCTCGGCCCATATGTTCTTCTTAATACTACACTACCTCCCTTTCAACAGAAAGCAGTGATATTTTATTGATTCCCCACTTTAAGGAAAAACAACAGCAATCGAATCAGAAAGTTCGTCATGTCTTCTAGAAGAGGCAAACGGAAGTGCCAACAACCACCGCCCCCAACAAAAAAACCAAGAGCTACTATTTCCCTAGCGACCCGGGGTGGCGTCAGGTCATTGCTCTGGTAGAACAGCGGAGAAGTCTGCGCGGGTAACCGGGAGAGGAGCCGGCAGAGCGCTGGACCGCTGACACCTTACCGAGCTTTTTGGGGAATCGCAGCTGTGGTCTGAGTTTACGAACAAAGCGGGCGTGTGTGGTCCTCAGTGCCACTCTTCAGGTGAAGACACAGACGGCAGGGGCCAGACTCCCGCCACTGACCGAGGCTGTCCCCGCGGAGACCCAGCCGCGAGGGAGGAGCGAGACACGCCGGCGTGACGTTCCTGCGGGTCTCCAGGACGTCTTCCCGAGCCGCTGGGGGCGGAGCTCAAGTTAGCGTGGCCCTTCCGGGGTCGGCCCGGCTGGGGGCCCTTCCCGGGCGCGAGCAGCCGCAGCCCACGGCGTGTCCCCCGGGGATCCCGCGGAGTCCTCCCGGCCGCGACGCCCAACATGGCGCTCCGGGAAACAACAACGCGGCGCCGCCCGTCGGATTCGCCCCGGGTCGGAGCGCCACACCCCCCTGACATTTCCCCCAGTCGCCGCCCCCCGCGTGACGCCTGGACCAATCCCGGCACGGCGCTCCCGGCTGGGTCCTCCCACCCCGGTCATCTCGCGAGAGTTTAGTTCTCCTCTCCGGCCCCAGCGGTTTGATGCTTGTCCGTCCGCCTGAAGGTTCCAAACAGGCCGCGTCTTTGCCCTTCGGCCATTGAGATCTCGCGAGATTTATCGGGAGATAAATCTCCCTCCAGCCACGCCTGCGCAGATCTCGTCAAAGCAGAAGGTCGCTCCTGGAGGAAGTGGCCTCTTAGCGCCCCGTGACCGGAGCGCCGTTACTACTTTCCCGAAGCTCCTCTCGGCCGCTGGCCGCGACACCCCGCCGCCAAGATGCCTCGGATTATGATCAAAGGGGGCGTGTGGAGAAATACGGAGGTGAGACCGCTTTTCCCGCCGTCCGCTGCCCTCCGCCGGGTCCGGTAGCGTGTGCGCACGCGCGGGGAGGTCCCGGGGAGCCGCGGCTGTCCCGCGGGGTCCCCGTGGGGGGGACTGCAACTGTGCCGGGCCCGGGTGCGGCCGTGCGTGCGTCCCCTGCGCACCTCGGGGGGCGAGGTCGCGGCTTGTCGCCCCGCGCTCCCCATCTGGCATCTGCTAGGCCCTCGGACGCTTATTTGCTCCGTTTAGGGACGCGCCCCCTCGCTCTCCCCGGCGACCCCGTGGCCGCCCAGGCGGGACCTCGGCGGGAGCGTGGTTTTTCTCCAGCCCCTTCCTTTCTTAGCTGGTGCACAGCGCTTCGCCCTGGTGGAAGTCGCTGTGGTGGCCGCAACTTTGTTTTTCATTGACTTCCTTTCGGTGGGGCGGGCGGCGGGGTTCACGTCTGCACCTCCCTGCTTATCTCGTACCGTGGCATCATGGGTCCGCTCTGCAGATCCCAAGGTCTTGTCTCTTACCTTTCAGTCGCACCGCCCTTGCCGGGATAGAAGCCAATTAGGACAAACTACGTATTTGCTTCCAGGAATGTGGATCCTGCCACGGGTAAACGGGACGGGAGAAGAAGGGAAGGAAAATAGAAATTAAGTTCCCGTGCATTTGAGCGAATGCACTGAGTGTATGAATAGCTTTAGTCTTGTGCTTCCTTGAGATGTCTTCCTGTTGCTTGGCATCTTTCTGACCATCCTCCAAACTTAGCTCAGAACACTTCTTGGGTTTAGTTATCTAGTGGTTTTGTGGTACCCATCTTCATTTGCTGCAGCTTACTTTGGTTTTGCAAGCGCTACTGTGTGTGGTTCCAGCTAAGTTTCAACTTCTCAAAGCCTCAGTTTACTCATTTTTATAAAACAAATAGTATGTACCTCTTGCAGTGAGTTAGTAGTTTGAAACATTGAGAACGCAGCTGAGCACATTATTTAGACTTTCAGTAAAAACGGGTTGCTGAGCGGTGGTGGCGCTCGCCTTTAATCCCAGCATTCGGGAGGCAGAGGCAGGTGGATCTCCGTGAGTTCAAGGCCAGCCTGGTCCACAAAGTGAGATCCAGGACAGGCACCAAAGCTACACAGAGAAACCCTGTCTCAGAAAAAACAAAACAAAACAACAACAACAACAACAACAAAAAATAGGGTGCTGTTGTCCTCATCAGACATCACTGCAAGAGGACCAGGCTTTGGTATCCTAGAACCTAGTATGAAGCAGGTTGCTTGGTGATGTTTGGGAATCCATCTTGTACCTGCCATACATTCTTGGTTGAAGATACGTTGAAGTGTAGAAAAACTATAAAAGTTTATTCTATTAAAGTTACAAATGAAGGCACTGAAAAGGGACTTGCTTGCACTGAGGCTATTTAAATTAGAGAAGAGATGACTTCTGAGGGAGAAACGGAATCACAAAATCAAGGAGCAGCAGGATTCCTTTGTAGTGGTTAGAACCTTGCCCATGTGTGTCTCATGTAGCCCAGAGTGGCTTTGAACTTGCTATGTAGATGAGGATAACCCTGAACTCTTTTGATCCTCCTGCCTCTACCTCCAGTTCTGGGATTGCAGGTGTGTACCACCGTGCAAAGTCTTACGGGAATCTAACCCAGGACTTTCGTGCATACTAGGTGAGCATTCTACCAGCAAGTAATATGGAGTGGAGAGGCTCAAGTCCAAGGCATGCAATTCAAGTTCATTGTGGAAAAAAACCTGAAAGTAAGGTGCGCAGGTGCATTCATCTGTGGCTCTCTGACCTCTGGTGTCTGGGTTCACTTGGCAGGTTGTCCTGGGATTGGGGCATGCTTTGGGTACTCTGGTGAAATAGAATTGGAGATTGGAGTAGGCAGGGTGAGCTGACTGATGATGTAGAGGGAGCTGTGGGTTCCTGGATTGTTGTGGTGCGTAGGATGCTGGAGAGGAAATGTCATGTTGTACCAGAGTGTCAGGTTGCTTCTTGAGATCTGGGTAAGTCATCTTTGATTCTCTTTCCTGGAGTACACAGACCTAGTTCAAGGTAGATACTCAGATATTTTTTTGAGTAGATATACATGTGAACTTTACCTTTGTGAAGAGAATGATAGGTGCATACTGGTGAATACTTTTTGTAAGTCTGTCATAAAGTAGTGTTTTCAACATTGACTTCTTTCCATTTCCAGTTTGTTGAGGAGCAGGTAAGATGTCCTTCAAGGGATTTTTTTTTCTTTTTCTTAAAAACCAAAAGATTATTTTCATTTTTAAAATTATATGTCCGTGTATGGGCATGTTCACGTGAGTACAGGCACCCTCAGTAGCTAGAGGCTTTGGATCCCCCTGGAGCTGGAGTAACAGGTAAGCTGCCTGATGTAGGTCCTGGGAATCGAACTTAGGTCTTCTGCAAAGAACAGCACATGCTCTTAACCACTGAGCTGTCTCTCCAGTCATCTCCTGATTTTTTTATGCTATTTATCATTAACTGTTAATGAAGTTTTCGTGCCTTTTTTTTTTTTTTTTAAATGATTGTGTGTTTCTCCATAGGAAATCTGCAGGGGTTAATTTAAATTTTGTCTTTCCTCATCTAGAGGCTTGTGACTGAATGCATTCTCTTTGGCAACTCTTTTAGGATGAAATTCTGAAAGCAGCAGTAATGAAATATGGCAAAAACCAGTGGTCTAGGATTGCCTCCTTGCTGCATAGGAAATCAGCAAAGCAGTGCAAAGCCAGATGGTACGTACCCTCCAGTAAGTGGAAAACAACAGGGTCCTGATTGTGATGAGTGAACTGTCTCTTTGAAGCCTCCCCCAGAAGAGCAAGAACTGTGATAGAGAGGGAAGTATGGAGAGAGATGGGCTTCCTGCGTGGGCGTAAACAAACCATTTCCCTCCTCTTTACCATGTCTGTTTTCTCACAGTTTAGCGTACTAATACTTAGTGCTAACTGATCACTTGTGAAGCCCAATCTGAGTGAGTTTATGTATTTATTTGAGAATGCCTTGTGAGACAAATACAAAACCCTAGGAGAGATAGCTGGCCCTCAGCTCAGAGAATGAGTTGTATTCTGAAAGTTTATGAATTGATTGATTTAGCATTCATTTACTTTCCCAAAGAAGTAATGCTAAACAATGCTTGATTTTTCTAGGCCAGGTTACAGTGGTTGGTTTCCTTGTAATAAGGTGGCAATATTTCATATTTGCTACATGAAAATG